ACTATCCCATGCATATTATCTGACCATAGTGCAGTGAAATTGGAAATTAGTGACAAAAGGAACCACAAAAACTCCACAAACACATGGAAATTAAATAATAGCCACCTGAACAACCAATGGATCACAGACAAAACTAAAGAAAAAATTAAACAATATCTACAAACAAAAGAATACATAAATACAACTTACTGGAATATGTGGAATGCATTGAAAGCAGTTCTCATAGGGAAGTCAGTAGGGGTGAACTCACATATCAGGAAAACAGAACGAGAACAAATAAATAGCCTAGTACTTCACTTAAAACTTTTAGAAAAAGAACAAGTCAAGTACAAATCCCAAAGAAGGGAGGAAATTATAAAGATCAGGGCAGAAATTAACACAATTGAGATGAAGAAAACACTGCAAAGAATTAATGAATCAAAGAGTCAGTTCTTTGAAAGAATAAATAAAATTGATAAACTTCTAACCAACCTTATCAAAAAAAGGAAAGAGCCAGACATAGTGGCACAATAAGGAATGAAAATGATGAAATTACCACAGATCCGATAGAAATTCAGAAGATCATCAATACCTACTTTGAAAATCTTTACTCCCATAGGATAGAAAACACAGAAGAAATGGACAGATTCCAAGAGACATATGAATTACCAAAGCTGAATCAAGAAGATATAAAAATCCTGAATAACCCAACATCAATTAATGAAGTTGAAAGCACAATTAAAAACCTACCAACAAAGAAAAGTCCATGTCCTGATAGATTCAGAGCTAAATTCCACAAGAAATTCAGAGAAAATTTAATGCCAACACTCCCCAAACTCTCCAATGATATTGAAAAGGAGGCAATTCTCCCTAACTCATTTCTGGAGGCAAGTATTATACTGATATCAAAACCAGAGAAAGACCCAACCAAAAAAGAACTATGGGCCAATCTCCCTAATGAATATAGTTGCAAAAATTCTCAATAAAACACTACCTAATAGAATGCAGCAAAACATCAAGAAGATAGCACGCTATGACCAAGTGGGAATCATCCCAGGAGTGCAGGGATGGTTCAATTTACACAAATCAATAAATGTAATGTATCAACAGCACCAAAATAAAAATCACATGATCATGGATGCAACTAGAGACCATTCTCTTTTTTTTGGGGGGGGGGGGTTTCCAGTATGGGGAATCGAACTCATGACCTTGCCCTTGCCAGGGAGGCACTGTGCCACTGAGCTAAACCCCCAGCCCTATGAGAAACATTCTTATAAGTGAAATAAATCAGACCCACAGGTGTAAACATCACATTGTGTCCCTGGTGTAAGAACATGAAAGAGTAAATAAAATCCAAAATGTACAATAGATAATAAGAAAGGGGAAGAAATTGCTCAAAGGAAGGAACAATTGGGATGAGGGAAAGAAGAAAAGCAAAGTACTAAGGCCATCATATATATATATGGAAACAGTGGCATAACTGTTCTTCTGGGGTCCAATGGTTTGTTGAGGGGAACAGTTAATGATTAAAAGGTTTTTTTAAATATATATTTTGACCAATTTTGCATGCTTATATCTGATAACTTGAGCAACTTATGTGACAACAACAATTTGCAGTGTAACAACCACTAGTGAATTCCTATAATCCTGTCTAGTGAAACTATGTATGGTATCTAATGTTCTTTTAAATTATTATTTTCTTATTCCCTTTAATGATTTTATCAATCTTCTCTTCTTACATCTAGTAATCTCAGCAACTTCGTTGTATGTAATATAACATGTATGTAATATAACAACCACTATTAATCTCTATCATTTGGTTTGAAACCCCATATCATTTTTAATTTTTCTTGCTTTGTTTTGTTTGTATTTTGCTATTGTTCTTTTTTGTACTATTTCTTTAAAATAAAAATAAAAAACTAAAATAAGCAAATAATATGTGCAAAAAAAGAATCACATCCTCATCTCAATAGATGCAGAAAAAGATTTTGAAAAAGTTCAACATTTATTCATGATAAAAACCTACAGAAAATTAGAATGAATGGACTTTACCTCAATCTGGTAAAAGCCATCTATGACAAATGGACAGCCAATCTAATACTAAATGGACAGGACCCAGGATATAGTTCAGGGGCACAAGTGCCTCTCTAGCAAGCATAAAGTCCTGAGTTCGATTTCTGGTACAAAAAAAAAAAAAAAAAAAAAAAAAAAAAAAAAAAAAAACAACCATACTAAATGAACAAAAACTGAAGCTTTCATTTTAAAATCAGGAACCAGACAAGGATGTCCACTGTCACCACTCCTATTCCACATAGATCTGGAAACATTAGCCAGAGCAATTAGACAAGAGATAGAAATAAAAGGAATAGGGATAGGAAGAAAAGAAGTGATATCATCATTATTTGCAGATGACATTATACTCTGCATAGAAGACCCCCCAAAACTCCACCAAAAGACTCCTAGAATTAATAACCCAATTCAGTAGCATAGCGGGATACATAGTCAGCACTTAAAAATCAATGGCATTCCTATACACAAACAACAAACACCTTGAGAGAGTAATTAGGGAAACAATACCTTTGACAATAGCAACCAAAAACTGAAATAGTTAGGAATCAGTTTAACAAAAGATGTAAAAGATCTATATAGTGAAAATGACACTACCTTGCAAAAAGTGATCAAAGAAGAGTTCAAGAAATGAAAAGATATTCCTTGCTCATGCACAGGAAAAACAAACATTGTAAAAATGGCCATACTCCCAAAATTGTTATATACATTCCATGCAATCCTGATGAAAATACCATTGTTATACCTCACAGATCTAGAGAAAACATTCCTAAAATTCATCTGGAATTAGAAGAGACCCAGAATAACAGGCAATCCTGGACAACAAAGGCAAGGCAGGAGGTATCACAATCCCTGAGTTGAAATTATACTACAAAGCTACTGTGATAAAATCAGTATGGTATTGGCAAAAAAACAGATCTGAAGACCAATGGAACAGGTTAGAAGATGCAGCCACAACCACAAACACACTCAGCCACCTTATCTTTGACAAAGGGGCCAAATGTGTTCACTGGAAGAAAGATAGCTTCTTTAATAAATGGTGCTGGAAAAATTGACTTTAGCTGAAGACTAAAACTAGACCAAGCCTATTAACCATGCACCAAAATAAAGTTAAAATCAATTAAAGATCTAAATATTAAAACAAAAACACTAGATCTACTAGAAGAAAAAGTAGGTGTAAGTTTTGAAGACATAGTTGTAGGCAGAGAGTTCATGAACAAGAACCAAACTGCACAGGAAATACTTCAAAGAATCAACAACTGGGATCTCATCTTATTGAAAAGTTTTTACATATCAAAAGAAATCACCAACGGTGTGAAAAGAAAACCCATGAATTGGGAAAAAATTTTAGCCAACTGTACCTCAGATAAAGGACTCCTGTCTAGAATATATAAATAATTTAAAAAGCCAGGCCTACAAAATTCAAAGACCCTATCCAAAAATGGGTATCTGAGGTGACTACACGTTTCTCAGATGAAGAAATATAAATGGCATATAAATACATGGAAAAATGTTCAACATCATTGGTCATTTGAGAAATGCAAGTTAAAACAACACTGAGATTCCATCTCACCCCAGAAAAAATGGCCATCATCAAGAAATCAACCAATAGCAAATGCTGGGGAGAAGTGGGGAAAAAGGAACACTTCTCCACTGTTGGTGGGAGTGTAGACTGGTGTAACCACTGTGGAGATCAGTCTGGAGTTTCCTCAGTAAACTAGGATAAGAAGTCCCATTCAACCCAGCTATTTCCCTTTTTGATATTTTTCCAGAAGAACTAAGAACATCATACCACAGAGATATATGTGCACCCATGTTTACAGCAGCACAATTTGTAATAGCTAAATCATGGAAGCAACCAAAAAAGATGTGGTATTTTTACAAAATGGAATATTACTTAGCCATAAAGAAAGATTAACTGGAGGCTTTTATAGGTAAATGGATGCAAATAGAGACCATACTCATAAGTGAAATAAATCAGACTCACATGTGTAAACATCATATCATATCCCTAGCATAAGAACCTGAAAGAGTAAATAAAATCTAAAAGGTACAATAGATATTGTGAAAG